AGAAACATTTCATAATGCTCACTTTGTAGCTCTGGCTCCCAGAGGTTGGAAACAGATGTCTTTGAATCAGATATTAAAAATTCCCCAAATAAATGCCTGACTTTAAAAAGGACTCATGATTTGGGGAGATTGTCCTCATACAAAAGTTAGCCAGTCCCTAAAAAGTAAAGTTTCCATTGGGTCTTGCAACATCCATATTTTTAAAATTAAACTTTTAAAATCAACTGCAGGGGCCAATTATCTAGAATTTAAAAATCACATGCTACCTGAAACAGGGTTTAAAGCACACATATGCTGAGATAGTACAAACATGTTCCTAATAAAACCAGAAATTAATAGAAGCATTGTGGCTGTTTAAGATTTCTTAATGGCATGGACCTTTGCCCATGAAAATTTATGCCATAATAAATATTTTAAGCTATAGTCCTACCCATGCCGGCTCAGAAGTAAATTCTATTAGAATTAAATAAAGTTTACTCCCAGGTTGGGATGGACAAATGGGTCAAATTCATTTTCTGTCAGTTTCTCATTCTTTTAATTTTGGTCCTGTTTTCTACATATCCAACACTCGTTTGCATGTTGTTTAAAAAGTCCTCATGGAAATTCACCAGCATTTTAGTGCAAATTTATCCTAATGGAACATTTTTCTTTGCAATCTTGTCTAATATGCACTTTTTTGCAAATAAATTTTCACTAATACAACACATTTCTGCAAGTTACTTTCATTAATATTTGCAATTACAGAAGATTTAAAGAGAATGATTGCTCTCGGATGCATCCACCAATGATGACAAACCCTGACAGCTAAATGGAGCTTCCCTATTCAGAGGCACTGTATCTATGAGTCTCAGGCTTTCATAGAATTGGAATCACAATGGTCATCTAGTCCAACCTCCTGCAATCTTTTTGCCCAACGTGGGGCTCAAATCCACAACTCTGAGATTAAGAGTCTCTTGCTCTGGAGCTACCTCCAGTGGTGACAAATTGGGATGAGCTCTAGTCCTGATGTCCCAGTTGGCAAGCTTCTTGGGAGCATCCAACAGGCCACATCTGGAAACAGATGGATTAGAGCTGATCCAGCAGAAATCTTCCTTTGTTCTTAAACTCCAGTCTCAATCCTCCTTCGGTCTCTTTTCATCCCTCTCCACCACTCTAGCGGCTTGGTGTGTGCTTAAGCACCTCACGTGGCACCACAAGCAAATACTTTGCACTAATGAAAGAAGGGACACCTTTGAAAAATATCTGGCTGGGTACCATGTCCCTTGTCTAGATAACCTGCTAGTTGTTAAGAGTTTGGCGGAAGCCACCTGGCGCAATTAAGGCAAGCATGTTTCTACATACAATACACAAGGGCCAAAGCAACATCATCACCTGGTTGTACCTTGACTTCACCTCTTGAAGTGGAGCCAGACATCCAGTACAATGAGACATCGAAACAACAAGATGGAGATGACATTTTCACTTGCACTCTGTCACCAGACTGTGCATTGTTATATGTGATGCTTGCGCACTCTGCATTATTATTTTTCCAAAACCTATGCCAATCCAATATTCTGTGCCAGGAAAAGCTAGACGTTGTGATCTGAGTTTATTGTTTTTATTATTATGGCTCTGTTGTTATGTCCACTGAAGACATAGCTCAGTCAGCTCTGGCTTGGGGGATTTAATTACAGTCTCACAAGCTTGAAGCTTATTTTGGTTGTCCTAAGGGCTAGAAGGCTTATTATTGTTATTAGGAAACTGGAAGTTCTCAAGATGCCAAATTCTGGGACCGGGACTCAAGTACTGATGGCCACTAATTTGGATGGCTTTAAAAGGGGATTAAACAAATCCATGGAGGATAAGATTCTCAATGGCAGCTAGGAGCTATGGTGGCTATGTTCTGCCCACAGCGGTGGAGGCAAGATGCCTCTGAATACCATTACTGGGAGTTAGGGATGGGTGAATAGGCAAATTTTCAGATATTGGTCAGAATAGTGGCTGCCAAGCTCCGCCCCCTCTTAAACCACCTGAAAATTGCTGAGGGTCTTGGCGGACCACTTAATGATTTTTCTGCCTGTTGTAGCAATTGTAATGTGCTGTGCTAGATGCTGTATGATCTGTAATTGCATTTTTACCGCTTTTATTTCTTACATTGCACTGCAAACTGGATTCCATAGAATTTGAATTGCAGTACAGTATAGCAGAATAAAAGAAGCAATAAAAATACGATTAAAAATCAATAGGCATGTTTACAGACCACTGGTGGTCCACAGACCAGTTATTCTAACCATAGCCAAGTTTACACCTGAATCTTTCAACTTGGATTTGTTTTCAGCCGTAAGTTTCAGATGCATGCAGACACAGAGGAACACAGTAGGATGGCTGGCCCCACCATCAGGTAAAATGAGGCCTTGGATGTAATGAAAGACAACAAATTATTATTACATTTTTACTGCCAGGTAGAAGGAGTAATTTTCTGCCACAGTTGACCAAAGGACTAGGCTAGCCTTGATGGGGAACAATATCATTTTTTTCTTGTAAACTGCCTTGGGATCAGTAAGGAAGGCAGTATGCAATTAATTCATTAACAAAATGCTTAATATCAGGCAGCAAAATCTGAGGATTTAAAAGTGGCCATAATCTTTGAGGCACCCTTGCAAGAAATCCTATTTTTTAGTGTGGCTGCACCTATCCTATGGAACTCCCTGCCCACTGGCATTAGTGACTTCGCTGTATTCTTTTTGGCACCTGCTAAAAACTTTTGTTTAGGCAAGCCTGCCCAGACATGTAAAGTTTGCTTGTATTTTAGTCTGTAATTTTACCCTATAATGTATGTTTAACTGCTGGTTTTATCGGGGGGGGGGGGTCACTGATGGTGTTAAAGTATATTTTATATTCTTTGTAAACTGCTTATTTACAGTTAAGTGACATTTTGTAAAATAAAATGAAACAAAAATGGAGCAGCCCTATGCCTGGGTTTTTCTCTCTCTTGCTCAGTTTCCCTTCAGCTTATTTGGTTGTCTTCCTGTCATTACCACCTAATGCTTAGATCTTTCTCCACCCATTATTCCCTTAAGTCATTCAATTGCTTGCACCCTGCCTTTTAACCCATCTCATTTTATTTGCTGGCAAAGTGAACTGTGCACATCTCTTTAAACATAACCCGTTCTGCTGATTCCCCCACTAGCTTTCTGTTCCTCTAGACTAGAATAGAATAGGCTATAACTTTTTGGAAGGAAAGTTATGAATCAAAATGTGCCATCCAACTAGAAGAAAACATTTTATTAAGTCACAGCCACACATCATGCAAAATTGACGATCTGCCATTGAACAATGGCCCTTTCCTTAGACCTGCAGACCTATGGTACTAAATGGAATGCCCTTACTGAAGCCAAGAATGCCAGGGCTTGTCCAGTGCCTGGTCAGAAGGCCTCCTGAGAACTCTGAGGTCCTCCCTGGATGATAGGTTGGATATAAAAATATTACAAAATTAGAAAAGCAGCTCAGCACGAATGCAGCCTTTGCTTTGCACTTGGTTCTGCTGCTGGCAAGATGACCTGAAAAATAACAGAATTTTTTTCTTCTCCAAAAAGTATATTTCTGAGAGTGAGGCTGTTATTAAACATTGCTACGATGTACGTGGCATTTGCAACTTCCACCCATCATTAAGCACCAACAATGGCAGAGATAAAAGCAGCATCAGGGGACAGAGTGCCCCAGATCAAGTTTGTCACCAGGCTACTGAGACTTTTTGGCCGGCCTCTTTGTTACGCTCTTTTTGGCAGAGTATAATTAGCCAAACTGTTTTGTCCAGGCAACCTTTAAAAGAGGAAAAAAGACAGACCCTTGAGTAATAGAAAGGAAATGAGAAAAAAAACCTGTTTTTCCCTCATATAGAGTGCAGCATTCTAGGAATTAAAAACAAAAAACAAAAAATCATTTCTTTTTTTAAGCTACTCCCCTCTTGCATAGAGACCCATTTAAGAGAATGCTTATCAAAGATTGGTTGGGTCCTGTAGCTGCAGCACTGAAGCAGAAGCAATGCTGATGGATATGTCTTGATATCACTTACCTGGCTGCAAGGCCATTGGCAAAGGTTAGAGGGCACAGCCCTGGTCTTTTCTTTGCTAACCTTAATGGATTTTTTTTTTGGGTAGGGGGGTGGAGAGAGAGGAGAGGCTGAAGCAAAGCTTGTTAAGTGCCTAACCAACCCCCCCCCCCATGTATAAACACAACCTTTGGGATGGAGAGGATCACAAGGCCTGGGAACCCAGTTGAAAACTGTTGAGCTTAAGGCTATTAAGAGTGTTGTGTTTCACTATTTTGTGGAGGGGAGGGGGTCACTGCAGATTGCTCTGGATTAGAAAGCAGCTCATTATTCCTCCAACAGCTGTTAAAAACTTGTTGATTTGACACAAGTACTAAAGTTGCAAGATTTGTCCTCCCATATTTTTCATGATAGAATCACAAGCATTTACTGTACAGTGGTACCTCGGGTTAAGGACTTAATTCGTTCCGGAGGTCTGTTCTTAACCTGAAACTGTTCTTAACCTGAAGCACCACTTTAGCTAATAGGGCCTCCCGCCGGAGCACAATTTCTGTTCTCATCCTGAAGCAAAGTTCTTAACCTGAGGTACTATTTCTGGGTTAGCGGAGTCTGTAACCTGAAGCGTATGTAACCCGAGGTACCACTGTATATAGAATTGGAAAGCAAAAGGCTTCAGCTTTTTTTTGAAAAAACACAAAATGCCAAGGAAGTTTGATAGTTACACTTGTTGCCTACATTTCTATAATATACTTAAACACTCAGGGCCAATTACAATCCTGGGTCTTTTGGGGGTAAAGGATAACAATAAAATTAGATGTGTGGGAATCTAAATAGGCCAAAAAGATAAGAAAGAAATTCAAAGCATGAGCAACATGTGCAAGAGCAACTCCCCTCCTTAAATAGATGCTCCCTGACCAGAGCACACATGGGGGATTCCAGTCAAAAGATTATAATTAATTTCAAATGTATCCTCCCACTCCAACTTCACAAGTCTGGAAGAGATTCTAATAAGGTACAATTAGGCTAGTATCTCTCTCTCTCTCTCTCTCTCTCTCTCTCTCTCTCTCACACACACACACACACTCACACACCCACACCCACACACCCACCACACACCCCTTCATGCATGAGTGAAACCAGATGCTGCTTTCTAAGATGATAAAGCTTGTATTTTATGAGATGTTCACACAAATGCCACTTTAAATTATGAACATGTTCTTTCAAGTAAAAAACAGTTTCTATAGCCAGAAATAAGGACATGACAGCATACATGTTATCTTTCCAGCACGCGTCCAAGCAGTGTTTCAGTCTCACTCAATTATTTGCTGCTACAAAAGGATCAATAATTACTGCCAGGCCCAAAGACTGAAAGCCACACATATATTAACTCTCTGCCGCAGCACAGATAGTGCTACCAAGCACACCAAGGGGACTGCAGGCAAGGCCAACTGCGCCACGTTATGAGTGCATTTCCCAACACCAGTACATTACAATGGCTAGCCAGGTTTGCTCCATCACAATATTGCAAGAATACTGTACATCACAACGTTAACAAACTGAAGAACCCTCTTTTCAGGGGGCGGCTCAGAACCTCAAGATCTATTGCCCTGGTCAGCATATTTTACAAAATGTTTTTTAAAGACATTTGAACAGAGCTTCAAGACCAGCCCGATTGGCACTGTTCCCTGACACACTCACAGGCAAGCCAAGACACCAACAAAAGGCTCTTTAACACTCTCATTCCCAGCGTGGACAGCAGCAGAGGACTGGGTGGAGGCCTTGTCCTGCAATGTGCATTTGCTTACAGCGGCGAAGGGTTTATGAATCCTGCTGCTGACTCTCACTTTGCGCAATTCTCCCTGGGTGCTGGTTCCTCTGTGCAGACACAGCAAGCGGCTTAAGAGCACCAAGGGAGAGTTCTGTTAAAGCCTATGTTGCTGTTCACACCAGGAACGAATAGATTAAAGAACCCTTTGTCTGATGTCAGTGTGGCTCTGGGGCATATGGAGTGTGTGGAGCTTAGGGACAAATGAGATATCCTTAGGGCTCCAATGGAGAGCCTCCAGCCCATGGGCTCAATTAAGTCTACCGGGCCATTTCAGCTGGGCTTACCTGCCCAACACTAAACATCATATGAGTTACAGCCAAAAGGGGGTTTCGGGCATTGTCCATCAGCTGCCTGTCAGGATGGGCTATGCATAGCACTCTGCAAGCCCTGACATTCAACTGATAAGTCTGTGCTTTGCAGGCTGTGCTTCTGCCCAGTCTGATTTCAAACCAGGCAGGCAAAAAGGGGTCACCCAATGTCACTGTGGGCATGAGAGGGGCGGGAAGATAATGGTCTGGCCAGCCAGCCCCATCCAGTTCCCCACCCATCTTACAGGATGGATTATTGGTTAATAAGATTTCCCTCACATCCACAGGAACTTTTTATGAGCTGGCTTACCATATATTGAGAGAACAATCACAGTAGTTGTGTACAGAACAGTGGAGAACAGACTAGTTTGTTTCTTTCCCATTTATTTATTTACTGGCATTAAGTCTTCCCTGCCCCACCCTTTTCGTTCCTCCCTCCACAACATCTCCCCTCAATGTCAAAGTGCATTTACTTTTAAGGTATGAGTTTTTAAAATAATTTTGGCTGATATTCCCTCAGTCTAGCCAAGCGGAGCTGACCCTGCTTCCCCCCCTCAGTTTTCCAGGTGCAGGTGACCTCTCGATTCCAACACCGCAGCAAGAGACTTGGGCAACGGTTTCTAGGGATGAGAAAAGAACCCTGAGGCAAAAATGATGGCTTTTTCTTTAGCAAGTCCTAAGACCAGTGTTCAGCAGCTTATAAGGCTCCTGGGATCTTCTGTGGCGGGAGGCCTTCCTCGATCCAGAGGGAAGGGGACGGGCCGCTGTGTAGCATTCGCCGGTGAATCCGTCGCAATCGCAACAGGTACAGCAGGATGGACAGCAGCACAACAAAGAAGCAGGCGAAGAATAGGTAATGGTTGTAAACAAAGGAGAAGCTGCGCCAATGGGAGTGATTGCCTCGGAAATTCTCCTGCTGGATGTCCCTGGGAAAACAGAACAAAATTATTAGCGTGAAAGAAATCTTACAGCAACCCACACCTCAGCAAGTCAGCTTCTGCAAGGGTGGGAGAGATGCCAGAAGAAAGCTGAGAGGGCAACTGAGGAATATGCTGATTTTCAAGTGGGAAGAGCCCCAACTCCTAAACTACCCCTTAGAACCTTATGGGGGGGAGTTGTGATGTCAGCAGCTGTAACACTAATGTCATCTTCCTTGGACCAATTCCTTTCATCCTCTCAAACCTATCTGAATGCCTATCAACCCAACAGCAAAGGCTGCTGAGCTGGTCTCGAGGAACAGGGCACACAGAGGTGAACAACAACTAGTGTTTACCATTCCATTTGTCCTCTATTCCCACCACCTGGTGGGCAACTCACTAGCTCTACATTATGCTCAGAAAGCGTCACAGATGCAAAGTTTTCTGGAGAAAATTATCCACTGAAAGGGTTGTGACTGGTGACTGGCTCTTTTTGAACACCACACTTAAGAAAAGCGAAGCCGTACCTCAAAGGCAAGAATCGTGTTCGATAGAGAATGGCCCCCAACGTCCATTGCACCTCTTTGTCATAGACCTGCAGTGCAGTTTTTAAGTTGCCATAGTTTACAGGAAAAGAGAAACCGTTGTGAAACACTTCATACATCCAGGCTGACTTAAAGCATTGATACCTACAAAGAATAAACATTAAGAAGTCAACTTCTGCTGTTTTAAAACAGAAGCAGAACTCGTTAAGACATAAAAAGCACAGCCTAAAAAGAATAACTGAATTCCCTTGGTCTTGTGCATTTAATTGCATATTCAAGGGCACACTTTCTACTTAAAACTTACACAGACATTCTCTAGATTGCACCCAACAAATGAGGTGCTTATATGGAATAGATTATTAAGTTTTGCTATGACAGAGGGAGTGCATCTGCTCCAGCAGGTTTGAACATTAAACCCAAGAGATAAAAAGGTGGGATGAAAGCTTAGGTATTGGCTACTTTAACAAGCCTTTCTCATGTTAATTTTCTGTAATTAATAGACAGCATTATTGGACTTTCCAGGAATAGATAAGGTAAAAGGTAAAGGACCCCTGGATGGTTAAGCCCAGTCAAAGGCAACTGTGGGGTGGGGCGCTCATCCCGCTTCAGGCCGAGGGAGTCGGCATTGCCCACAGAGAGCTTTCCGGGTCATGTGGCCAGAATGACTAAACCGCTTCTGGCGCAACGGTGTATCGGAAGCCAGAGTGCACGGAAACGCCGTCTACCTTCCTGCCACAGTGCTACCTATTTATCTACTTGCACTGGCGTGCTTTCGAACTGCTAGGTTGGGAGAAGCTGGGGCAGAGCCACGGGAGCTCACCTGGTCCCGTGGATTCAAACCTTCCGATCAGCAAGCCCAAGAGGCCCAGTGGTTTATACCACAGTGCTACCCACTCCATTTTTCCAGGAACAGCAGCATTTAACAGATCCGGCACTGCGGATCCGAAAAGTATAAGCCTTTTTCACTAATCAGTCACCTTCGGGAACACTAAGATATGATCCATAAACTCACTGGATCATTACTCTCCTCCCGAGATGGAGGACGTCCCCTCACTACTCCTCCAACATGGAGGTAAGAGCTTGTGTGAACCACCAGATGCGCAATGTGATTTTATGGAAGCCCAGCTTATGTGGGGGAAGACAGAAGTTCACGGATCAGGCATTTGCATTACAGTCATAACTCATGTTATGTTCCACTTGTTACCGACTTTCATCTTATGAATGCGGCAAACCCGTAAGTGTATACTTCCGGGTTTGCCGCCCGTGCATGTGCAGAAGCGATCTTCGCGCATGCACAGAAGCATTTGACTGCGCTGTGCACATGCGCAGAAGAGGCGCTCTAGTTGTGGACTTTTCGGGGTGCGAACAACACCCTGAAACGGATTAAGTCCTTAACTAGAGGTATCACTGTACTAACCAGCTCGTGTAGGTGGTCAGCCCCATTGTGGGGCTTATGAAACTGTACTCGGTACTCAACCACAGTTCCAAAAAGCTCTGCAGTTTATGACTAGTAGTTCAGATGGCAAGAATGTATGCTTCTGGGCCTCCTTGAAGTGTTTCCTTCTAGGAACTACTGGTACAGTTTGTTCTCGGCTCTTCTCTCCCCAGGAAGGATGCTCAAGCAGATCCAGCCATGGGGGAATACGAACACTCACTTCAATCGATGAAGGTCTGCATGCGAGGCATAAAGACCACGGTCCAAACGTTCCCTTAGGACTGACCACTTTGTTGCACAGTAATCCTGAAAAAGAAACACAAAGAATGTAAATATACATTTTGAAGGCAATGTGAAAATATTATATAGAAAATATTATACATTTTTGGAGGCAAGGAATGTAATGAAATATTGGGGGCTAAGAAAATTGAGGGCTATTGCATTAACCAGAGAAGCAGCGCAGCATTTTGGACAGAGTGTCCCACCTCAATTAGGAAGAGCACGTTCAAATCCCCTCACCGTGGGAAAATGCAGTCACCGTCTCTCATCCTGACCAACCCCAACATCATTGCAAGGATAAAATAGAATGGTAGGGAGATATTTCTGTATTTATCTATCCTTTATCTCACAGAATTTTTATCCCAATCATCTACAAATCTCAGGGTTACAAAAATTAAAAAACAGCAATATATCCATATTTAATAAACAAGAGCTGGTAAAAATATGATTAAAACTATTAACATATGCCCCAAACTGCCTAAGTACTTAAAACTAACTAGGAGCGGACTAATAATCCCCCAAATGCCTGTGCAATCAAACAGGTATTTGCCAGGCACCAAAATGCCAAATGTGTCTGGCATACTTCATCCACAACTGGGCCACTACCACAGAGAAGGCCCTATCCCATGTCACTACCAAAGCTATTGCCCGTGGTGGTGGGACAACAAAAAGGGCCTCTCTGCCTTGGTCTAAGGAACTGGGGTGGCTAATTAAGGGAGATGCATTATTTCAGATATCTGAGCTCACCAGAAGATGGACCTAAATATTAACAACATTTTATACAGCAATTTTACATGCAAATTGCTTCACAATCAGTGGTTCTTGCAGCCACTCTACAATGTTGTTATCTTTTTTTTTAATACACTAAAGCATATGGGAGCAAAGTTAGTGACACAGCAAATGGATATGCAAGGCTGGAGAGAATGAGTATACAGGAAGGAAAGAGTAGGAAAAAGGTTTTTTTCGTAAGGCATCCAACCTTCATTTGTTTTTACTTTCCTATTTTACAGACAAGAAAACTTAAGGCTGGGAGACAGTATCTTGCCCTAGGTCAGCAATTCTTAACTGGTGCCCAAAGGGGGGGGGCATGATCTACAAATCTTGGGGGTGGGGCATTCAGAATTTGTGGGGGCAAAGGTAGATTTTAGGCAGCCCTTTCTCCCTTCTGCCAGCCAGCAGGGAAGGGTTGTTATACAGTATAGCGCTCACTGTGTTCAGAGGATAAAATTAAAGATAATCCTTTTCAAAACTCTTTAAAAAAGCAGCCTGCAATAAAGAGGAGTCAAACACGAATGCCCCTCCCTGCTTAGGGCAAAACCCAACAAAAAGTAATGCACCTCCATCCACTTACAATGAGACTTAAATATGTATGAAGAGCTTCCAGGAATGAAACAGGGTGGGGGTTATAACAGGAACACACACAAGGGAGAAACAGGTTCTCTAAATAAAAAGAAAAGTGTCAGTTGGGCTCAAATAAAAATTGAGCACCTTTTTAAAGAACTTGCTTCTCCCTTGTCAGTATGAGCTTTCAGAGCCTACTAGCTCAAAATTACATCTCTTTCCATCTCCACCCCCCATCTCTGCTCCACCACTATGAGCAACTGCACTATCCCTCACCCAGGCTCCCTCCAGCCACTCTTCTTGCCCAAACCTCTTCCCCAGTTTCATCACAGTAACTACCACCCCCTGCTGTTCCCTCTCCATCAAACCGAAAATTAAGGAGTTGGCTGGTGAGGATTTTATTGAACATATGCAGGAAATCTATGTATATGTCTATACCTCTGGAACCCACCCCGTTACATATCACACAAGCGCTGTCTCTATTGTCCTTTTTGGTACCAACTGAAGACCTTCCTTTTTCAAAAATCCTTTTAAGTGAATATTCCCATCTCAGTTTGTATCTGTATTGGTTAGGAAATCTTTCTTACTGATGGGTTTATTGTTAATCGCTTTGGGATGTTTCATGGAAAGCAATTCGTAAATGAAATAAATATACCTATATAGCAGAATGTTACCTTAATGACAGAAACTTAGGACTCTCAGAACCAAAACTCTTCAACATCAATCACAACTCATGTACATGTGTCATAAAGAGTAGCATTAATTTTATTATATTTTGCCCTGCCCTCCTTCCAAGGAACTCAGGGTCATATAAAAAGCACACTCTCTCTCTTACACACACACACCCCACCCCCACCTCTGCCAATTTCACTTTCACAACAACCATCTGAGGCTGGTTAGGCTGAGAGAAACGTGATTGGCCCAAGATCACCAAATTAGCTTTGTGGGTTCACTGAGAAGATGATCCCTAGCCTCCCAGGCCCTTGGTCTGACAATCTAGCTGCCCCTTCACCACCCAAAAGCAGAGGGACCTTTTACCTTTGCAGCTTTAATAAACTTAGCAGCGATGTACTCTCCTCCCATCCGCAATACATCCTCGGTACAGTAATAGAACTCCGAGAACCCATAGAACTCGCTGTTCTCAAAGTGCACAGGAGGCTGATAAATGCCATTCAAAGAAGTCTGCGTCTCATTTGTCTTATTCATGAAAGGCTGAATAACATCACGGCACAAGTGAAAATCTCCTGTCCCTCGAAGATGCATCTTCTGCCCATTCTGCTGGATTTCATCCTCAGCATCCAAAGGCAGGCAAGGGTCTAAATAGGGGGTATCAGAAGTCATACCAATCTGTTTGCCTAGAAGCCTGCAACAAAGATTGAGCAAAGTTACATGTGCAAAAACCGTTTACAGGATACCAGATCGCTCTGCCTTGGAGAGTGGTCCCACTTAGCGCTGTGTCAGGTGGGCAGGCACAAATTGGGGAAAGCAACACAATGGCAAAATCTGTGACTTCTAGTAGGCCTGTGGTGGTCAATGCAGGATGCAACTACAACATCCTTAACAGAGGACCATTCCACCTGTGCTTAACATCCCTGACAGACAACCATCCCACCCGTGAAGGAGGGCCCACCACTCCCTGAGGCAGGCTGTTCCAGTGCCACACAGCTCCTCCCATGAGAAAGCTTTTTCTAATGTTCCTCTTGCATGGATACACGATCGGGACGCTGGTCAGCAGGGCTTGCTGGCAGTCCAGAGGTGGTAACATGAGAACAGGGTCTTTTCTGTGGTGGCTCCCCGCTTCTGGACTGCTCTCTCCAGGGAGACTCACCTGGTACCTTCATGGCATATTTAAGCACTAGCAAAAGCATTTCTCTATAACCAGGCCTTTGGCTGAGTAAACATTATACAGCCTTTTAAATCTGTTTGTGGGAGAGGGGTTATTGGTTTGTTTTTGTTTGTTATGTATTTTGTGTTCTCATTTTGTGAACTGCCCTGTGAAGGGCAGTATATACAAACTGGGTAAATGGCAATATTAATCATAATGATGGCTGGGAGATAAGTCAGATAAGGAAGGGCTGGGGAGACACGTAGCAGTTAAGAGTGAGGCTTCCAAGTTCCTTGGAACTGAGGTGTGAGGAAAGGGGTGGGGGCAGAGCCAGCCTGACTGGAATTCCAGTTGAGCCAAAGCCCTACAAGGAGAGGGTGCTGGGAAGGAGCTTATAGAATCATAGTATTGTAGAACTGGAAGGGCCCTTCATGGTCATCTAGTCCAACCCCCTGCAATGCAGGAATCTCAACTAAAGCATCCACCTTCTGCTTAACAATCTCTAATGAAGAAGAGTCCACCACCTTCTGAGGGCGTCTGTCCCACTGTCAAATAGCTCTTACCTACATGATTACTGCAACCATCTGAAGATGTGCCCATCTCACTGGGGAAGATTTAAATGTTGACATGTATAGGAGGGAAATCAACTGAATCTGGAAATCAAGTTAATTATAGAATATTACCTGTTTCTAAATACTGTGGTGGTAAATATGCTGTCTGCATATCTCTGCCGGGCAGCATTTCCACCAAAGCCGAGGAAAGTTGCCACATAAACTCGGTACACATGTTCTGTTTGGTGAGCATCGCACCCTAGATTAAACTCTGCAAGTAGGTTCTTGGCCACCTCCTCCTGCAGATCCCAAAACACGAGATTAAAGAGGCATGAACAGCTCTGCTTTGTGTTGTGTAACGCTTAACTCTGAATATAGGGAAGTTATTTCAAATCTGCAGCTCTCTAAACATTTTCACAAGAACTTTCTCTAGAGGAACTCTTTGTACTCAATACCCAAGTGTCAAAGCGGGGGACCTCCAAATGCAGTTGGACTACAACTCCCATCATGTCTGGCAATCAGACATGCTGGTTGGGGCTGATAGGAGTTGCAGTTGATTAACATTTGGAGAGCACCACATTGGGTAGCCCTTGCTAAAGAAAGCAGCACCAAAACCCAAAACTCTGCTAGTTGACCAAATCTGCGCAATTTATGATCCTGGTTGCAGCCCACCCATGGGGGAACTGTACATGTTCTTATATTCACCCGTTAACTCTTGCCTCTTCTTTTCCTTCCCTCCCTTTGACATCTTTACCACATATAAAGTATAAATTACTGAAGGCAAGGGACAGATATATTAACTTCTGAATGCCCTGGAATTACTACTCCCTCCATGGGACAGAGAAATCTTTGAGGAACATGCATTGGGGGCAGAAGACACGTAACCTGGTGCAAACACCACTTAATAGCCCTAGAGGTTAGTCTCTAGAGCAAAGTCCAGCAAAACCTCCTTTCCTGAATTACTTTTGAAATTTCTACAGAGGCGTTCTCTGTCTGTTGGTTAAAATGTTCATGTGAAATATGACCTGCCAGTTGGCTTAAGAGGACACATCATTAAGAGGCTGAAAACAAATAAAGGATGAAGCGTGTTTAAGTAATTTATCAAATAAAGTTATCTACGGCTGGGAGGTTTTCCATTTCTGAGAGGTTTTCATTTTATTGTGATCTATTTTCAACCCTCCATCTCACTGATTAATGTGTTGCTTGAAAAGCGGAGCTACATGGCTGCCTATGGGACTGAAATGTTAGGAATGCACTGCTTGACTCTTAAGATAACCAAGAACCGTGTGGATTTCTGAGAGTGCACCGTGGATGCTGAATTTTAAACTATTTTAAAGCACATACCAATAAAAAACTTAGTTGGTCTCTAAGCTGCTACTGGAAGGAATTTTTTAAAATTTTTATTTTAAACCATTAACTGTCAATGTCATGCAGCAATTATTCCATAAGCAACTGTTAGAAATTAAAGTGGAGATGAACAAAATGGTTTTAAAAATTGTACTGTGTAAAGCTGAGGCTGGAGAAGTTACAGAATATTTGGAGAAAATGCTGGTGGAGAACTGCCAGAAAAGGAGAACGGAATGGTAAAATTGGAGACAATAGAGGATGAAATCCAGAGAACATCCACACAGATGCCTGAAGGAGTGAAATAGCCAAATGCTGGAGTTATGATGTTGGAGGAGGTGGTGGCGTGCATAGATGGAGAGACTAAGAAATATCCTGAACTGAAAGAGATAGAGTTGAGAAAGAAAGGACTGTGTGTATAATTTTGATTGAAACTGGAAGGAAAAGGTACTACGTCTCCTGAAACATTTTTGGAAAAAGAATGGAAGAGGAGAAAAATTCTATTAAAAAAAAAAGGATTGACAACCAATAGCTACAAGGAAATGGGATTGGAAGATATTAATTTGGGAGTGGATTAATGACTATATAAGAACTAAATAATTATGGACTGTTGTGTTAATACATAACCATAGTGAAGAAATTCTGGAAGGAATAAGGACTGAATGTTTCTTAAAATTGGAGGGAACGTTGTGATGTTGGACTGGAGGGGGACTATTGTTGACTCTTACAGATAATAATAATTGAAGAACCTCCTTTGGACTTCTTGCAGTGAAAGAAATGAACAGGAGAGTCCCAGATGGAAAACTAGAAAAAAGCACCTAGCAGAGGAAGGAACAGCTGGATACTACTCTAGATTGAACATTTGACTGTTTTGAAGAACTATAGTATATACAGTATAACTGACAGATAGATAGTTGGAAGTCCTTTTTATCTACTTTTTATTTTTCATTTCCACTTTATTCTTTTCTTTAATATTCTTATTTGTTTTCTTTCCTTTTTCTTTCTGCTTTGCTTTGGTCTTTTGTATTATTTGTGGCTCTCTATTCAGGGTTAAAGAGGGGCTAACATGCTGATGAAGGTTATTGATAATTGACAAAAGAACCGGCATGAGGTAGGGAAGAGAATCTCCTAGGTGAGAGCTGGGATGGTTCACCTGTCTCTGTGTGTGACAAGTTAAGATTTATCTGTGAAAGAGGACTTTGTATTCTTTTTTCTTTCTTTTTATGTTTTTGTTTTTGTTTAGATTAGTTGGTTTTTATTGCAATGTATTAGGAAAGGTCTGAATAAAACTTTATAAAAACAAACCAACAAACCAAAATAAATAGCACCCACAATCCATACACCACCGCATATTCCCACCAGAAGTGTCACAATTTAAATGGCACAATTCAAAATGGGGGTTAAACACCAGGAAAAGTTAACGGTTGTGTAGCATAATTCAAGGACATTTGTATTAAACTGACAGATGAAATGAATCATGTACAGGCAGACTGCTTAGCTGATGGGACATCAAGATGCAACCTCCTCTCGTCTTGGGGTGAAGATGTCACGTAGTGAAGCACAGAACTCATAACACGCAAAAGAAAAAGAATCAATGGTATATGGATTAAAACACAGGAAAAAAACAAAAGGAAAAGAAGGAAAAGTTGTACAGATAATAACCTGCTGTGAAGAGGCAAAGCTTACAGTTTTAGGGACTTCGTATGCTATTTGAGTTGACACACCACCCATGTCAAGTATACCCACAGTCCTCTTTCGAAGAATGGCTTCCTTGTTTTCACTGCCAGGAATATGCACCTCCACTACAGCATCATCCTCTGAAAGACAAGACGTGAAGGATGTTGAGATGTGGGGACAAACCCTTCTGAGGATCTGAATTTCAAACATTTGCACTGCCATAGCTTGGTACAAAGTAGCAATGGCAACCCTGCAATGGCAGCCTAATGCCAAGAGTTTGCTAGGCTGCAGAGTTGACAAAAACATGCAATTCTTGGTATAACACTCTTGAGGAGGACTCTCGGTAAGCTCTCTGAGCATAGTGCCCCAATGATCCCACATCACAGCCATAATGACAAGAGTCCTGGAAGGTAATAGGAAAGTTAGCTTGTTGTGGGAGAAAATATGTGCTATATGTTTTAACAATATTAGGAAAGAAGCTTGGAGTAAAACAGGAAATGTTGCAATGACATTCTAAAGTAGGCATATTTAGAATGCCTTGTATATTGTTTTCAAAAATCGTAACACAGAGCAGGGAAAGATACAGAAAATAGCAATGGAAATAATACAGTATGGGGTTGAAGCACTTATTCAAAGTCTCCTCCATACCTCTCAAAAGCTAATGTTTTTGGGACTTCCTGGTGCGTGTGTGTGTGTGTGTGTGTGTGTGTACACACACACACACACACACACACACACACACACAATGCCTTGTTAAAATTTCTGTAGCTGAAAATATTTAGGGTATTGTTTTATGCCTTCTGTTCTCTAATAGACACACATATTTTTAGACTCTATATCTTTATTATGGATTAGAATCCACCAAGCACAGCTGCTGATCAACTTTCATTCACAGCTGCTGCAGGATATTGTCCACTAGCAACAGCCATCGGACCATCAACACCATTTCTCCCTTTGGTAGGCTACATAGAGTGCTATTAAGACACTTGCCATCATCGGTATGCTCAAATCTTCCAAGGACAAAGTTGATTCCAATCCATGCATATACTCCTAGAAAATTTAAGAGAACAATTTTAAGTATTAAAAGTTATTGAGCTGTGCCTTTAAACATAGTAAACTTAATTAAAACAGTATTATAACAAGGGCCCAACGAGACTTGCCCTTGCCCAGTCGCTTTCACCCCGGGAAACCAGATCTTTACCACTGAATTGTGCAAATGCCAATCAGATTTACTCTGGATTGATGTTTGCTGCAATTTATTGCTAAACAGCGGGTTTTCTGGAGGAAAATGGCAGGGCAAGGGTAAAACTGCATTCTAGGCACTGGACAACTACAAGTCTGGATGAGCCCCAATAAACTTGAGTTGTATGGAAAACTACTTTCCTTTTAAAAAAATTAATCCAGACATGCTACTTCTCAGGTACATGGTTAAAAAAAAGAAAAACAACAATTCCTCACTGGCCACAACGATGTGTGAAAAAAAACAGAAAATTCCAGCCTCTCCAAGACCTTCTAAAAATCTATGTACAGTCATACCTTGGCTCTCGAACAGAATGCGTTCCAGGAGTCCATTCGACTCCCGGAACAGTTAAAAAATCAAGGCAAGGCTTCCGATTGGCTGCAGGAGCGGAAGACACGCCGGACATTCAGCTTCTGAAAATCATTCGAAAATGGGAACACTCACTTTCAGGTTTCGATCATTTGGGAGCTGATTTGTTCAGGAGCCAATGCGTTTGAGAGGTATGACTGTACTGTAGTATGAAAGTGCTCTGCCCAGCGATTCCAAATGTTGCCACCAGAGTGTGCTCTTGCAGCTTTATAGTAAAGGTAAAGGTAAAGGGACCCCTGACCATTAGGTCCAGTCGTGACCAACTCTGGGGTTGCGGCGCTCATCTCGCTTTATTGGCCGAGGGAGCCAGCGTACAGCTTCCGGGTCATGTGGCCAGCATGACTAAGCCGCTTCTGGCGAACCAGAGCAGCGCACGGAAACGCCGTTTACCTTCCCGCCGGAGCGGTACCTATTTATCTACTTGCACTCTGACGTGCTTTCAAACTGCTAGGTTGGCAGGAACAGGGACCGAGCGACAGGAGCTCACCCCGTCGCGGGGATTCGAACCGCCGACCTTCTGATCGGCAAGCCCTAGGCTCTGTGGTCTAACCCACAGTGCCACCTGCGTCCCTCCAGCTTTATAGTACAAGCCTGCCAATGAACAACTATAAATAACAGAACACGATGGCTTAGCTAAAACGGGCGTGGGGACTCTGTGGCCATCTAGCTGTTGTTGGGACTCCAATTTCCATCATCCCCAGAAGGATGATAGGAGTTGCAGGGCAACACTTCTCGAGGGCCACAAGGCACAGGAACTATGATGAGGGGAAAGAGGTGTATTGCTGGAAAAAACAAACAAGGGATAAAGAAAGGCTTACAAAAAAATAAAGATTCCAGTATCTGTGATGTGTGCAGTGAATTAAGCAGTCAGCTAAGCAGACAAAGAAACACCCGATGACTTATTTATGTTTTTCATCACGTTTTTATGCCAATTTTCTTCTTGCATCTTGTACTCTGCCTTGATTTTTTTTTAAAAATCAAAATATAGACTATAAATATATAAATTTAAAAAATAAGAGAAATCAAACTAAGGATGCTACAAGAAATACAGGTGAGTTGCAAAAACAGCATTTCACACAATGTAATTGCATTTGAAAATAATGGAGGGGTGTGGGGGTAAACAGTGTATGGTTATTCAAAGACATTTAAAGGTAAAAGGACCCCTGACTGTTAAGTCCAGTTGCAGACAACTCTGGGGTTGTGGTGCTCATCTCGCTTTACTGGCTGAGGGAGCTGACGTTTGTCTGCAGACCACAGACAGCTTCTGGGTCATGTGGCCAGCATGACTAAGCCGCTTCTGGTGAACCAGAGCAGCACACAGAAACGCTATTTACCCTCCCGCCGGAGCGGTACCTATTTATCTACTTGCACTTGACGTGCTTTCAAACTGCTAGGTGGACAGGAGCAGGGACCGAGCAACGGGAGCTCACCCCATCGTGGGGATTCGAACAGCCGACCTTCTCATTGGCAAGCCCTAGGCCACCCACATCACATTTAGAATCTGCTTTATTCAGATCAACTGTTGACATTCCACTGATGAATCTCCAATAAAGCCCTTTCTCAGCCTCTCTCGATACTGCACAAATCCAGCTGATTTTACTCTTATATCATGCAGGGAAGACTTCTCATCCATTCATTCTCCTTCCCACCAAATATATTCTACCTAAAAAACCAACCACCAAGCTAACACCCTCAAACTCCCTAACCCTGCTATATCCCTGGATATTTTTTAAAATTTATAGTAGAGAGGAAATGTAGCAATCTAAGGAGCCCCTGCCCCTTCAAAATTAACTTCCAATTTGCCTGTGTTTTTTGCTTCTTAAAATTGGAGTGACCTGGTATCGACACAATCTGGTTGTAGGCTAACTAGGTATATAGACATACTGGAAAGGGACATATCTCTGCTCTCCTCATTCTGTGTTGTGATCCACAGCATCTCTTACAATTGTGTTTCTTGCAGCAGTTCTCTGTCACCCACTGAAGGGGACCTGCTCCCTGGACAGACATTCCATCAGTCTAGTGAATGTGGTTTCAAACTTGTCTTTTTCAAAAGCAGTTCCTTACCTTCTTGCTTTCCTGAAATAACCTCAGCATGCGAGTCCGAAAACAGAAAATCAAAATGCACTGGGATATCAGTTAGCAGGTCTTCTAGTATTGCCTTTTGCTGGCTGCAAGATTCCAAATATGTTTAAAATACAAATAGACCCCTAACATACTCAATTCTCTGTATTAAACTGTAATAGAAAAAAGATATTCAGTCACCTCTCTGGTAAGATTCTCATCCCTGCTGTACAAAGGATATACAGAGGTGTTTCTTTATGTTTTGCACGGGGTACATGTGCAGCAGCAAAGCTCAGAAGTGGGAAAATATAGTCACTGACTTTTTCAGGAGAGGTAGCAAATTCTGAAATGCCTAAAAAAAGCAGTGGAGATACATATGAGTATATATGCATACAGCAGAAAGTGGGAGAGTCCAACATACAAAAAAACCCTTATTATTTCAAAGAGTTTCTGATTGTAAGAGTTGGAAGCTGAATAACCTGTTTGCTTTTTTGGTGAATTTTCTGGGTAGCATTCAGTATGCCAATCAAATTAAAGACAAAATACTGCCTGAGCAAAAGGATCTACTAGCCTGTATAATTCATGTGGCCATAACTTTACTACAAAAGTGATTTCTTGGTTTTAAAAAAGCCTGTTTCCGGAAAGGTCAAGACTGTTGTTGAAAAAAACCATGATATGTGAGCCGAGAATAGTAACATTATCTAGGCAAAAGGTAAAACACCTTGGCTCCCATGCTACAAAGGCTGTATTAGAATGGACTTTGGAATATGTTTTATTAGAGCATAAAAGGCATATATAACTGGAGCCCATATAACGGCCCTGCAACCAAATGGAGCAGAAAGGCCCCAAGATGTCAAATAATTGAAGGGAGGCATACACAGTATGTTTGAATGCCAGGGAAAAGGCCATATTACAGGTACTTGAATGATGCATCTTTAAATTTATGTGTCAGGAAAAGCATATAGCATCCTGAAGTTTGCACTTTGAATAGAACTGGTCCACGGATTCCAGATCCTTAAAAGCATTTCACTCATTCTGGAAAACAGGACAATTCGTAGGTGGGTTTTTTTTAGTGTTCTCCAATTTTTTCTATTTTATTTTTTTCCAAATTGGAAGTAAGTTTCACTAAACAGAGTCTTGTGCCTGAGTAAAAATGCCTAAAGGTATTCCCTGTAAATTTCATAAATATGCCAAATAGCATAATTTCACATGCTATATTGGCATTTTAGGCTACAGCAGTAATTTTTTTTAGTAAATATTGCATATAAACACAGTTCACTGATGAAAAGAAAAGTATGACTTGATCATATTTATTCACATAAAAAATAAGGACACTGAACAGATACCACAGATTGAGTCTGACAACAAATAAAATCTAAACATAACATGTCAACTTCTATTTATATACCACCTTTTTATATATCTACACAAGCTAGCTTCCATGAAACAGTCACTGTTAGTTAACTACCAATAGGTCCTTCCTCAATGAGTTTTTCTAAAGTTATAACCTTCCAGTTTACTGCACAGGCCAACCAGTGCTGAATTTCAAACCACAGGGAAACAACTCTTTGTTTTTATGTTACAATAGCAAGCAGAGCTGTCTGCAAGAATGAGGTGAAGGAGGTTAGAATGAAATCAAAACCCTTGGCTATATGGACTGACTTCCAAGTAAACATGGACGGAATTGGCCTGCATGTATCATCCCAAGTAAAACAGGGATAAAACACAATGAAACATTTAATAAAACGAAACTGCTACATTTTTATAAATTACCATTCCTTTTAAGACATGCTGCTAAGCTATGGCAGGGGGAAAAAAGTTATGGCCTTTTCTCCAATACCTGGTTTAATTTTCATAACCACTGGTTTGCTGTTTTTGTCCCTCATTTGTTTGATGTCCAGCAAATCATGTGGATTGCCATTGTGCCTCGGCCACCAATACACAAAGATCCTAGATCCACTGCTACCACAGTCCACCATAATACCATAGTTCAACTTGGGATTGTTGGTATCTGTAGCTTCTGTGTCGGTTACTCGAGCAAGATACCTGGAAGAGAGCATCAAAGTGTTGTTTAGCAGCAAAGTGGGACTGAGCTTAAAGAGTCAACAAGCATAAGATCTCACTGCAAATTGCATTCAATTTATATGGACTTAGAAGCACATTTAAAAGCAAAAACAACTATCCGTTACTTGTGTTGTTCTCAGATGTGAACAAACACTTTTGGAATATATATATTTGTCTTACAGGATGTTCTTACCTGTGCAGTTTTTTGTCCCTGTAGCCATATTTTACAACAGAATAGTACAGCAAGAAAAAGGCAGCAGCGAGCAACCCAATGACAATAATCTGCCGTAATGTGGTGTTCAATATTCGTGGACACCCTACTGGGGAAATGCTGAAGTGCCAAGAAGCAGGAAACAGACAAGAAACACTGATCCTGAAATTTAGAAAACAAAAAGATAGCCTGTCTGAAAAGGTACCTTACTACAGTATAATCACTGACACACAAAGGATCCAATCACTGGATCCCAAATGTTCTAAGCCAGAAAATATTTTATAGTGAATTTAAGTAGATTGTAAACTCTTCAAATAGATGATTCTGCAGTTTCAAGAACTGAAGGAAGACTCCAAAAGTTACATTACTAACTCTTGATTCCTAGATTTAAAATGCTTCCCTACACTTTGTATGTATTTAGAAGATGTATACCTTGTCCTCCTATTGCAGTCATGATGCTCAAATACAGTAATTCTAAAACATCAATATCATCACTATTGACACTGAAGCAACAATCCAATATTAAGAACATAGATATGCTTAAGTAGATGAGTGAATGCAAGCTAAGTTTGCATAGCCCCCAATACTGCTATGAACACAAGTAGCTGCCTGGCGACAGAGGAGTGAAGCCACAAGGGTGGCGACTGCTGAGAGGAAGAAGAGATGATCAGGGGATATGACTTAGTCAGACCACATTGTATATGTGGTCAGAAATTTCAGCTCCCACAGTGTAGCCTTCTAAGACACTGCTATATTCAAGAGTTTGTGTACCGTAGTTTCTGCTGTAAGTCAAGCAGAGCTTATTAGATGACCCTTCTTGTTGTTGTTTAGTCATTTAGTTGTGTCCGACTCTTCGTGACCCCATGGACCAGAGCATGATGACCCTAGGGCAAGCCAAAATCCTCATATCTCAGACTCCAGGACTACAACATGAGGGGTACTACATTTATGGTATAGAGTTGCAGTAATTAGAGATGGAATCTTCAATTCATTCATCAGTTAGATTAACTTAAGCAATTAAATGCATTTTGATTTACTAAAAGATGCCCCAATTTAATCAAGTAGCAGCTTTTCATTTCAGTTTGATTAAAATTACTTTTTAAATTGTGGAAGCAAGTACCACCATTCTTCTTGTGTGAGAAAGGGCAATGCTTCCTTTATGATGCTGCCTGCTACAGGTGTGCAACATTTTTTCAAAGAACACTTTTCCTTTATCACAATCTCTCAAATGCATATCTTATCAATTCATTTTTAAAGCGTTAAGTAGATGACAAACCTGGTAAAATATTTTAAAAATAATTTATATATGTGCTGTTATTTCCAAACACCATTTACCCACTTTTCCAATTTACATGCAATGCCACTGTGAGTCCTTTCCATTTAAGTCAATTTCACGTTCTCACTGCAGAATTCCCATTGGCATCTAGTTGGCCAGTGTGAGAACAGAGTGCTAGAATAGAATGGCCTTTAGTCTCATTCAGCAGAGCTCCTTTTGTGTTTTATATTTTTTCATGACACAAGTGCTGAAAACAAGCAACGGAAATTCAGCACCTTTTGTTATCTATTCATTATTTGTACCTATTTGTATCTTGTATAGTTCAGTATTCAGCTGTAACAGTTTACAGTGGTACCTCGGGTTACAGACGCTTCAGGTTACAGACTCCGCTAACTCAGAAATAGCACCTCAGGTTAAGAACTTTGCTTCAGGATGAGAACAGAAATCGCACAGCAGCGGTGCAGTGGCAGCAGGAGGCCCCATTAGCTAAAGTGGTGCTTCAGGTTAAGAACAGTTTCAGGTTAAGAACAGACCTCCAGAATGAATTAAGTTCTTAACCCGAGGTAGCACTGTACTTGTTAACAATGTGAGGTGTTTTGTCTCCAACTGTACCTTCATCAATAAAAATAGTACAGGAAGTGTCAAAATTAAGGGAGCCCAAAGTCAAATAGACTTTTAAGTCTGTTTCATCCCCATCAAGCACACAGCATATTCCTTTCACCCCGACAGTATTCAGATACTTACCTACCCATTTCAGAACAGTTTGATCAGGCAAGGTACAGTAAGAGAGACTTCTATTGTCAGCCAAATGTTACAGATTCATAAGACACAAACATAATCCCCAGGACCAATGGTACAAATAGGAACTGAAAAGAAAAGATTGCAGTGATATTAAAAAGATGGTACTTTTATTCAGATCCAACATCTGATGAGCACAAAAACTAAACCAATGTAACAAATTATTAGCAATGATCCCTGATCTATATCCTACCCTTCTTTCAAAAAGTACAGGATGGTGTGCATGGGACTGTCCTATTTTAACCACACAACAATGTTGCTAGGCTAAGGATAGTGAAGGCCTCTCAGATACATCTCCAGCAACTCCATTCACCAAACCATACTGTGTGAGGGCATGGCAATATGAAATACATGTTCTGAGGTGGTCAATTCATCTCTCATATCTGAAGCAAGTGCACTAACACAGTTACTCACAAATTGGAGATACAGGCAATTTTATTATTATTAAATTTATATCTCACTCTTCCTTCCGAAGAGGCCCAGGGCTAGCTTACACGACTTCCACTGAAGCTAGCAGAGCAATGTGAGGTTATGTAAACTTCCCACTTAACTGAATGCAGTCTGATGCTTGATGACCTTCCAGCATACATTTGCTGAAATTCATCTTCTGTATCAGTGCAATTTCATGCTGAAGCAAGCAACAAAACTGCTAGCTTCCAGCTATAAATAACCAACAGAACACACTGTATTTTAAATAACATTTTAAAACACAAAAACCCACATTGTACAATCAAGGCTTTAACTGCAATAAGATTTCAAGTCTTATTACCAAGTTAATCCCTACTTTCTAAACAGAATTTGAAGTAATCGGCAGGGTGTGTGTGTGTGTAAAGAATATATATAATGATTACAACTTTACAAACTAGAACCTTGAATCAGAAACAAATTGGCTGCTAGCAGATGCAACACTATCACAATATGTTCAAAAAATCCATTTCATGCATGTATGAGAATTGCCTGACATCACTATGACATCAGTTGAAACATTTTCTTTTGCCCACATTGTTTGATTTCAAATTGCATGGACAAAGGCACAGATTTTGATGGTGTCACTCAACACACTGATTGGCAGCACCTGCAAACCTTGCTTTCAGCGTAGATCAATTGCACTCAGAAGCTCTGTTTGGGAGCTGCCATGTGGAACAAATCCCAGCAGGCTTGCCTTTGGGGCAACATTTAAAAGGTACCACATACAAAATTTGCCTGCCAAAGAACATTTAGAGGAGAATTTTAAGGCTTCCAACTATTTCTCTGCAACTGTGTTTTACCTGTTCCACACCTGATGTCATATGCGGCATCAGGTACGGGGCAGGTGGGGAAATGGTCTCATGGGCCAGAGGTTTCCCATTGCTGAAGGCATTAATGCAGACTCTGCAGTCTTATTATGAGTAATTTCCACTTAACAATTTATGGTTTGAAATGGAACTCCAAGTGTGCGTGTTCCAAATTATGATACCGCAACATGAAGTACTTATAATTACCGTATTTTTTGCTCCATAAGACTCACTTTTTCCCTCCTAAAAAGTAAGGGGAAATGTGTGTGCGTCTTATGGAGCGAATGCAGGCTGCGCAGCTATCACAGAAGCCAGAACAGCAAGAGGGATTGCTGCTTTCACTGCGCAGCGATCCCTCTTGCTGTTCTGGCTTCTGAGATTCAGATTTTTTTTTTCTTGTTTTCCTTCTCCAAAAATTAGGTGCGTCTTGTGGTCTGATGCGTCTTATAGAGCGAAAAATACGGTACTTACCTCTGAAACATTGTGACCTTCCGCAAACTATACCAGCTATTTAATACAAATTACATATCTTAATAGTTCCATGCAAAGAATGCTGGAAGAAGCCATATCATGCAGAAACTAAACGGAGAATAGAAGAAAAAACAAGATATTAAAATGGGATTTTCATTAAAATCAGCAGATCTGCTGAACTTAAAAACCAAGTTACACTGTCAGTATAATACCCTGTTGCTAGGTTACATTTAACAGCACAATGAAGCAAGTAGATCCCAGACTTGAAAGGATGGGGGCCTATGAGGAAGAAAATATGCAAAAAGGTTCATCTTTCATCTCAGGATTAAAGAATACTTAGTTTTTATTACATGTCTGCATGTTATGTAATACATGGGCTCCTACGCTTTAAGACATTAAGAATTACCTTGGCTGCATCTAACTAAAGTCCCTTGCTAGCCTCTTTTTTTGCTAAGCTAAAAAGCTCCCAATGTTGCAACTTTTCGAACTAGGGGAGCTGATGCAGCAGCTGGATAATATGCCCTTTTCTGCACTTGGTTCTTTCCACATAACAAGCATGAGATTTTTAGGAAGCTGACGGCTATAGCACAGGGACAGGGGGCCTATAGCCCTCAAGGTGCTGCTGAACCACAATTCCCATAATCCCTCAGTACTGGCTATGGGGCTGATAACAGCCCAACAACATCTGGAGGGTGACAGGATCCAGCCCAGGACACAGTTTCCAATAGCCAGCCAGCTGTGGGAAGCTGCTACACACACTTCATGTTTCACCGCAGTCTTAGACCAGCCTGGCCCGGGACAGCCATTCAAACAGAGGACTTTCCTCCTCCGCCGCCGCTGGAACGAGGGGCGCCGTCCGCCACAACGGGGGGGGGGCACCCACCCAGCTTCCCGCACGGCTTTCCCGCAGCTCCGCCGCCGAGGCCCAGTTACCGGCGCATCGGGGCTCCGCCGTGGACCCCACACCAAACCCTCGTTCTCCTCAAAAATGGCTCGGAGAGGCTCCTCCCCCGCCGCCGCCGCCGGGAACCTGCCCTTCCTCCCTCGCCTTTTCAGACCCGGCGGAAGGGAAGCCGGCGGCGGCGCCACTGGGCGCGAAAGAAGAACCCAGGAGTCCGAGCTGGCCGCGCAACATACGCGCGCGCGCTGCCCTCCCCTCCCCGCCAAAATTCACCTCAGCCGCCTCCTCTCCGGTTTCTCCGGGCCGCTCGCCGGGCGCCGGGCGCATAGCGACGCCTCAGCCATCCTCCACTTCCGGGTCTCGGAGGACCGGGCGTCGGAAGTGACGTCAAATGCGATAGCCGAACGGGGTGGGAAGCAAGAGCCGCCCCAACCGTAGAGTTGCAGGATGAAGCAGCGCGCGCGCGGTCGCCTCAGGGTCCCTTTGGGCACACTTCCGGTGTAAACATAGATCTACAAACATAAAGAAAAGGAAGCGGGGAATCTCTTTCATTTATCACATTGATATACCGAGATGGCGACTGGCCACGGGCGCTCCTTTCGCAGGGCATCATGGGAGTCTGGCTCGGCGCAGGGCGTGATGGGACTTTGGCTTTGCCTCCGCCGCTTTAAGCCGTGGATCGGGCCCTGGCGGCTCAGTAGCCGGGGAGGAGGAGCAAAGCTTTTCCCGACTGATCGGGCGCCGCCGCAAGACTCCCTTCGAATGCATTTGCCGCAGCCGCAGCTTTCCCTTCCGTGCAGGAATATGAAGGAATCGACGCGCAAATGCAATTGGGGAAATTTACTTTTTTTTTCCAGGAAGGAGGGAAAAAAGGAGGGGACACCCGGATTTGAACCGGGGACCTCTTGATCTGCAGTCAAATGCTCTACCACTGAGCTATATCCCCTGGCCTGTGGGTGCTGAAGAGCTAGTAAGGATAGTTGTGACATCTAGTTCTTCCATCATTTCACCTCCAGCCTCTTCCAGTAATAAACTGATTGGCTGTTGTTGTCGTGGCTAACTATAATTATGCTTAATTTTGTATTCTGCATAATAGGTAAGTGCTTTGTTTTCTTCTGTGTGATGGGGGTAGAGCATTTGACTAAGGAACCCTCCCTCCTCAAGTAAGGCTTTTAAGTCTATATAGAATCTAAAATTACTTCACTGCATTGCTGATCACCCCATAAATAACCCAGTGTTTTCTTTAAAGGACAGTGCTGTAGTGGTGTTGCAGCATGGGCTGTGAGGAGAACTTAGTCCCCATTCAAAAACAAGTGCCGCCTCATTTTTAGCTGAGAGGGAGAGGGCATACTCCAAGAAGATCATGATGAGAGCAGAGAACTCATTCTTCCTTTGAGTTTGTATTCTGTGTGATAGGTTGGATTATTTTTGTTTATATGTGCGTATAACTCAATAATCAAACATATAACTGATGATGGGAAAAGTTCCCTAGTTCAAATCCTGGCATCTCCTCATAGGGAAGGAGCTCCATAGTAGAGTATTCACAGAGAGCTACTGTTGGGGAAGGTGGACCAGCGGTCTGATGCCCTGTGCAACTTCACGTGTCTGCGAATCTCTTCCTCAACCTAGTGCCCTCCATGAGTTTTTGGATTCCTGCATTGCACGGGGTTGAACTAGATAACCCATGGGGTCCCTTCCAGCTCTACAATTCTATGATTCTCCTGTCATTTTTTTTAAAAAATAATTTTTATTAAAATTTCAATAAAAATTAAACAAAAAACCCCATAAAAGTAGAGATATAAAAACACACAATACATAATCCAAAAAGAGAAAGAAAAAAACACAGAAAACAGAATACAAAACAAGAACTAAAAAGAAACAGAACAATTAAAAACAATATCACTTTTCCATTTCCGTTTTTGAATTTACTTATTTTCTGGACTTCCTCATACCTCCCTCTTTTGTATTCCAATCCAAATTGTTTGTCCAGCAATTTCTTTTCCACTTTTTAAATCCCAATCTTTAAACTTAATATAATATATAACTCTTAAACTTCTTTAATCCTAATCTTTAATCTTAACGTAATATAACATTAAATTTTTACCTCTTAAATACCAAATTTCCATTTCCTTAAACATCTTTAATCCTAATCTTAAATCTTAATCTATCAATAACTTTAACCTGTACAGCTGGAAGCCACTTATTTTCGATCCAACATCATTCTAACATTCTTTAATTTTGCAATGTTTCTGAAGATAATCTTTGAATTTCTTCCAATCCTCCTCCACCGACTCTTCTCCCTGGTCACGGATTCTACCAGTCATTTCCGCCAGTTCCATATAGTCCATCTTGACATTCCATGTGTAGACAATTGAACCCTCCAGACTGGTCTTTTATTGGAAGTGTATTGTGCCTTGTGGGACATCTTTGGGAAAAGAAAAGGCTAAGGAGTAAACCCTACACAAATTCAGACTGGAGTCCCTAAGACAATTGGATGGTGCCTTGTACTCCTCCCTGCAGCAACTCCTGCAGCCAAGCTGGTGCCAGATGTATTGCTCGGCTTTCCTTTGGACCACACCAGCGAGGCCAAGAGGGGAGTCTTGTTGTCTGGGTAGCCCAGGACCTCCATACACACTGCCCAGACTTGCACCCTGGGGAGATCACTTTGGTGCAACAAAAGTGCGCACACAGCTGGACATTTATGGTATGAAAAGTTATAGGATTTCAGCAGGAAGTTACAGGTGTGCGCTTATTGGAAATGAGGCAGCATGATCACCCAAAAACCTTACTGACACAAATATCATTGAAAACAGGCTCATGTGGTATGACTGTCCTGAATGTGAAATAAAAGGGATATCTGGAATAACGTGTGGATAGGGAGCAAGATGGGCTACAGATTCCCCCCAGCCCACATAACCAGAGTTTGCAATTGCATGAAGTCTAAGGGTTGTAGCCAGTGCAAGTCCTACTAAGAGTAGACCTATTGAAATCAATGGACATGAGTATCTTAAGTCCACTGATTTCAATGTGTCTACTCTGAGTAGGACTAGTGTTGAATATGGCCTTCGAGTGAAAGAGATCCTCTGATGGAGCACTTCTGGTGGTCTCTGATGTTTGGCAGCCTTTACTAGGGACTGAACATTGATTATAGCAGGTCCTGCCCTGTAGGAAAAAGCCCTGCCACTAGAATAATCTCTGCCCACTTTCAAATGTCTGCTGACAATTTTGTATATTGTACTCTGCCTTGCTGTATTTTTATGAAAAGTGTGGTTAATAAATATTTAAATATATAGGTAAATAAATAGTTTCCCCTATCCTCATCCTTTCTGCCGGGGAATGCATACCATTATCAAAGCACTGCAGTGGAAAGGAAGTGATATTTGCTGATATTTTTTACGTTGATTCTTGTGTAAAGGTGTCCCATACATGGAAGGTGGGGGTTTCAGACATGGGCTGTGTACACACTACACCTTTAAAGCACTATGAGGGGTAAACTACATCAGCCAGAATTCTTTTAGGGAAACTGACTTGACAATGTTGGGTTTTGAGAGGTAAAGCATGGGAGATAACTGCCGGCAATTGGGACCCTTTCCTACATTAAGTAGCAAGCCCCAAGGAAGCTATGAGGTCCCAGTCACACAGAAAACCTTTGGCTGGGTTTGCTAACAAGGAACCTCATGCTGAAACATTCCAGGGTGTACCGTGGATAAAGGCAATGACTGTGAACATTCCTATCCATAGCCCATTTCTTTCAAATTTGTAGCATTTGCATTGTTATAGGACTGGAGGTTGGTTAGGATGGGTTCCAACCAAGCCTGTGATTTTGTAACTGTAAGACTGTAGTCTCTAATAGCAGGACCTGCTGGACTGGTCAAATCAGTCTCTTTGTTAAAGTGTGTTAGGTATCCATTTACATGTGTAAAGAGTTGGTCAAGACCAAACATGTTACCATAGAGACAACTGGCTGGTGACGCTCTTTCAGGAGGGGGTAAGCCTCCCGCCCTCACCTGGCTGGATGCCACGTCATCCTAGGGGTGGGGAAATAAGCCAGGGAGCTTGTATTTGTCTTAGTCTAGTCTGATGTTGGGAGGTGAAAGAGAGAGACAGAGGCTTGACTTGCTTTCTTTGCTGAAATAAAGCTGTGGCTTTGGAGGTTGTAGGGATTGTTAATGCTGTGAGCTCTTCTGTCTTATGCTTAGTTTGTACATATCTGTAAATAAAACTATATATAAAGACATTACTGTACCCAGAGACCTACATTCCTAGGAAACCAAACCCTAGAATCAGAGAAGTTGGAAGCTACCCTGAGGGTCATCTAGTGAAATCCTCTGCAATGCAGGAATCTCAGCTAAAGCATCCATGGCAGATGACCATCCAACCTCTGCTTCAAAACCTCCAAGGAAGGAGAGTCCACCACCTCTCGTGGGAGTCTGTTCCACTGCTGAACAGCTCTTACTGTCAGAAAGTTTTCCCATATATTTTGTCAGAATCTCTTGCAACTTGAAGCCATTGGTTCAAGTCCTACCCTCTAGAGCAGGAGAAAACAAGCTTGTATGGAGGAGTACAGGGTCAGGTTTAAGGTGCTGGTTTTGACCTTTAAAGCCCTAGGCGGCCTAGGACCCACGTACCTATGGGACCGCCTCTCCTGGTATGCCCCACGGAGGACCTTAAGGTCCACAAATGACAACACTTTGGAGGTCCCAAGTCACAAGGTGGTTAGATTGGTCTGAACTAGGGCCCAGGGCCTTTTCGGTACTGGCCCTGATTTGGTGGAACGCTCTGTCACAAGAGACTAGGGCCCTGCGGGACTTGACATCTTTCCGCAGTGCCTGCAAGACAGAGCTGTTCCACCTGGCCTTTGGTTTGGACTCAGTCTGACCCTTATGTTTTTGATTTATGGGCTACTTTTAAAATGAGGCTGCATTTTAAATTGCATTTTAACCTGTATTTTAAATTGGTTTCCCCCCCTATTATGTTTTTGAGTGTAATTTTACTGATGTTAGCCGCCCTGAACCTGGCTCTGGCTGGGGAGGGGAGGGTATAAATAGAATTATTTATTATTATTATTATTATTATTATTATGTATTGAAGTTCTCACCCTGGCCACCAGGAGTATTGTGTATGTAGTTTTCACTCAGGTCCACATCAGTTATTTTAGGCGGGAAACCCTGGGTTGTTGTTGCTACAATGTTGACAGCCGGCTGCCTATAAAAGCAGGCCGGCTGAGCTGTTTGCTGTTCAGTTCTGTTCCAGCTTACAAATAAAGAGCTGCTTTGGAAGAATCGCTGTGTCGTCTGCTATGTCTACCCACTATTCAACAATTATTATTATTATTATTATTATTATTCTGTGTGGCAGCCCTTAAGACATTTGAAGATGGCTATCATATCTCCTCTAAGTCTCCTCTTTTCCAGGCTAAATGTACCCAGCTTCTTCAAGCGCTCTTTGCAAGGCTTTGTTTCCAGATCCTTGGTAATCCTGGTTGCCCTCCTCTGCGGACATTCCAGCTTGTCAACATCCTCCTTAAATTGTGGTGCCCAGAACTGGACACAGTATTCCAGGTGTGGTCTGAACAGAGTGCTACTATTACTTCCCTTGATCTGGACACTAGACACCTGTTGATGCAGCCTAGAACAGCGTTAGCTTTCCCGCCTGCTGCATCACACTGTTGACTCATGTTTAGCTTGTGGTCCACCAAGACCCCTAGATGTTTTCACGTGGACTGCACAAGTACTGGGAAAATGCTGGAACCCCTGGACCCTCTTATCACTTGGATATTGGGGTGCGCACAGCCATATACAGTATTAAAATTATGTTAGTGTTTTATGTTATTATTCATGTATTGTGAAACCGTACCTTGTATTTGAGAACTTCTAGAAATTACAAGTATTTTTTTAAAAACAAAAACAAAACAAAACAATGCTATTTCATGCTGAGCAACAGGAAGTGATGTTTGCTGGCATTAATTGACCTAGGTGAGAGATTTGCTAAAGTGCTGCCTAGGGGGTCGAAGTACCAGGGTGTCATGTTTAAGGACCCTACAGGAAAAACACAGGGAGGTCATTGTGTCAACGCCTTGGTGGAAATGCAGCTGAATACACACAGGTCCTAGGCAGTCATTCACAAGAGGAAGGAACAAAATAGCTTAAATGACAGGATCATACCTAGAAGGGCACGCATGGCACTTGCACTGTGGGAACTGTCAAGAATAGAATGTTTTTAACACATGTCTAAAAAGATGTTTAAAGCAGAAGAAAGCTTTTCTGTGGTGCCTTCTCACCAGATTGTCCCCATCTGTATGTGGATTTATTATGCATGAATGTTAATACCAATTTAAAAACACTACAGCCCTTTCAAAGGGCTGCTGCATCTCTGTTGAATGAACATCAGCCATAGGAGCATAGGACTGAGTCAAATCATTAGTCCCTGCAGCTCAGTATCTTCTCCAGTGATTGACAGTAGCTCTCCATGGTTTCAGACGGGGGCCTCTGTCTCCCAGCCCCACTAGGAGACTGAACCCAAGACCTTTTGCTTGCCACTGAGTTGTGGTCCTTCCTCCTAGGCCATGTGCACGCCCACAAGTATGTGATTAATGCAGTGCTTTTTTTCTTTAAAAATGTTTAAGGGTACTCTCCTTTTCCTACTCATATTGAAATACTGCCCCTCAATGAGGCCAAACTTAGATTCACAAAATGTTTAGGGGTATGCGTACCCCTTGCATCCCCCCAGAAAAAAGCACTGGATTAATGTATATTTTATTGGCTGGCTGCCTGGCTGATATCCCACTCTATCCCATGGGCTCAGAGTGATTTTTAGTGGTCCCACACCTCTGTCAAATTTTAATAGCCCCATCTTCAGTCTAAGAAATCAATTGTTTAGGGGATAAAACAGACCAAGTTAAGTAAAGACAATATTGCAAACAGAAAATCTATTTGAAAGCCCCAAACAAACCAAAGTTGCTGTATTACACCAAGTGGTGCCATCAGGGCAGAACTTTGAGGCAGATGTCGAGCAGCATGGCCAGGTTGGGGGGGGGGGCAAATGCCACAGGACAGGCTTGCCATATTTTCACATTGGTAAAATAATACACATAACCATCTAAGGAACCCTCCCTCCCCAAGGAAGGCTTTTAAGTCTGAAATTACTTGACTGCACTGCTGATCACACCATATATAACCCAGTGTTTTCTTTAAAGGACAGTGCTGTAGTGGTGTTGCAGCATGGACTGTGAGGAGAGCTTAGTCCTCGGTCCAGTGGTGATGGTTGTTAAGAATTCCCGCTCCGTGATTGCAGTCATGGGATTGTTGTCTGTCACATGACGGTGTGTGTTTTGACTCCACAGAGTGGGAAGTGACGGAGGCAGGATATTTGTGTTACTGTGTTCCATGAAGTGGGACTATTGCCCTTTGATCTTTCTCTTTGCTGTCTGATGCTAGAGAGAGAGGGAGCCATGTTGCAGTGCTCCATGTGTGTTTATATGTAAATAAAGTGGTTTAGCCAAAATGCTGAGTTGCTGAGGTCTGTTACGCAAACTGCGCAGACTCTGCGGATCCCTAAGTGTGCCGGTGTCGGTTGGCATCGGTCGCCGTGATGTTTGGGCTGAAGAAAGTTTTTGAAGCTCCTGATCGACCAGGAGGGAGAGAACATGCCAGTTGGGCATGTGTCTCTACCAGGGTCCTACTCAAGTGTAGGACGAGCTCCTGACACTGGAGCTTTGACTGGGAAGGAAGTAGATGGATAGAGGTTCACTTTTCTTCTTCTTTTTTATAATTTTTTTATTAAGCAATTTTAACATAATCAATTATCAGTCATATTATTACATACATTCTTTTCCCCCTCCCCCCTCAACCCCCTCCCCCAAAGACTTCCCTCAGCTCCTTTCTCTGATTTCTCAACGCATTTTATTCTCTGCATATTATAAAATTGTACATATCTTTGTCTTATCTATCATATATTCAACTAATAAAATTTGTGAATGTTTATTCAAAACCTGCCAAAGAGTCCAATTCTTTTTGTTGTCTTTTTAAGTAATTTGTAAAAAGCTCCCATTCTTCTGTGAAGTCAAAATTGTCCTTGTCTCACAATTTGTACCTCAATTTAGCCAGTCAAATCAGCCATGATAAAATGGGCTCAGGACATTGGGTACAACATTATGTTTGAAGACTGGGAAAGGTTATGGACCACTGGTATGAAATTCACGGCATGTAATGCCTTGAAAGAGAATATTATGAAAATGATATACAGGTGGTACATGACCCCAGTCAAGCTTGCTAAGATATATCATTTGTCTGATAATAAATGTTGGAAATGTAAGGAGGCTGAAGGGACATTCTTTCACCTCTGGTGGACTTGCCCAAAAGTGAAGGCCTTCTGGGAAATGATCTATAATGAGTTAAAAAAGTGTTTAAGTACACTTTTCCCAAGAAACCAGAGGCCTTCCTACTGGGCATTGTCGGTCAGAAGGTGTTAAAGAAGGATAGAACCTTTTTATGTATGCAACTACAGCAGCAAGAATTCTTATCGCAAAATACTGGAAGATTCAAGATTTACCCACACTGGAAGAGTGGCAGACGCAATTGATGGGCTACATGGAATTGGCGAGATGACTGCCAGGATCCGAGATTTGGAGGAAGAAGCAATGGAGGAGGATTGGAAAAATTTAAAGATTATTTACAAAAATTTATAAGTAATATGAATGTTAAGAAGTCGCATGATTACGGAATTCAGCTCCAGCAATAAGATTAAGGTATGGGAAACTAAGCTATATTAATGAAAGGACTAACGTTTAAAAGAACATTATATATATGATTAGTGTAAATTGACAATAAGCATTTTAAACGTAAATCACAAGTATTTGAAAGAACAAAAGAATGCATGAAATAAGGTTATAATTTGCTGAAAAATTTTATTGTAAAGAACGCAAGGTGAGGGGGACGGGGGGAAGTCCGGTTGGTTATGGAAAAATGCTTTGGAAAGATGATTTTCTTCTTTTTCTTTCTCTTTTCTGTTATTTCTTTGTATATCTGACCTTGTATTTCTATCTGGAAAAATGCAATAAAAAATATTTAAAAAAAAAAAATATATAATTTTTTTATTAAGCAATTTTAACATAATCAATTATCAGTCATATTATTACATACATTCTTTTCCCCCTCCGCCCTCAACCCCCTCCCCCAAAGACTTCCCTCAGCTCCTTTCTCTGATTTCTCAACGCATTTTATTCTCTGCATATTATAAAATTGTACATATCTTTGTCTTATCTATCATATATTCAACTAATAAAATTTGTGAATGTTTATTCAAAACCTGCCAAAGAGTCCAGTTCTTTTTGTTGTCTTTTTAAGTAATTTGTAAAAAGCTTCCATTCTTCTTTGAAGTCAAAATTGTCCTTGTCTCACAATTTGTACCTCAATTTAGCCAGTTCTGCATAGTTCATCAGTTTCTCTTGCCACTGTTCTTTCGTCGGGATTTCTTCATTCTTCTATCCTTGTGCTATCAAAACTCTTGCGACTGTTGTAGCATACATAAATAAGTTCTTTGTTTTCCTTGGCAGGTCTTGTCCTACAATCCCTAGCAAAAAGGCTTCTGGTTGTTTTTTTTTAACAAATGTCATTTTAAACATTTTTTTTCAGTTCATTGTATATCATTTCCCAAATTTTTTAAATTTCTCTACATTCCCACCACATATGATAAAAAGTCCCCTCTTTTTCTTTACATTTCCAACATATGTTTGACCCGGTTTTGTACATTTTTGCTACCTGTACTGGTGTTATATACCATCTATACATCATTTTCATATAGTTTTCTTTCAAAAGAAAGTTGATGTGCCTCTTTTCATTCTGCTAGTTGTTCCTTGTACTTGTGGGGTGTCACTATATGAGCTTGAAACTTTAAAATGGGGGGGGGGTGTGTTCCAGAACCAAACCTTAAACCAGGAAGGTAAAGCAAGGTGAGGGAAAGGGGTGATTAAAAGGGTCAGAAGTAGGATTGCCAAATGATGAGAAAAACAACAGCCTAAACTGCTAGTGTGCCTTTTACAGCCAAAATAGGGTGTGGCCATAGCAGCAGAGAGGGGGTTGCCAAGATTTTGGGGTTGTGGACACATTTACAAACCAGAGCGATTGTCATGGGGCCCCCCCAAGCACTGCTGGACTGCGACCCCATCACCCCTAATAAGTGGCTAAGTTAGCCGGGGATGATGCTGAGGATATTCTAGCTGGTAAAAGGTTCAGAAAAGAGAAACCCAAATGATCTAGTGGCTACAGCAGCTCTCCCAATGAAGAAAGCTTATAACATTTGGGGGTTGTTAGTCTCGGGAAAAGGCGAGCAAAAGGAGACATGATAGAAGTGTATAAAATTATTAATAGTGCTTTGATTTAGTGCTAAAGAGGGGAAAGGGAGAAACCACTTTCTAAGCACGGGACAAGTGGAAGTGCAGATGAGTCCTAAGTCTATCAATGTTTACTAACCACAATATTTATGTTCTATCTCCTCTGTTGGAGGCAGAATGTCTCAATGCTCGTTCTGGGAATCAGAAGTAGGGAGAGTGCTGTTGCCCTCTGGTCCTGCTTTGGGGCTTCCCATGGGCCTGATCCAGCAGGCTCTTTTTAAATTCTTATGATAGAATTGTAGTCCAGCATCTGGGGACCCAAGGATGAAGAACACAGGTGTAGGTAATACTGAGCTCTTCATCTGACTGGGTAGGAGTTCACAGAGGAGATGAGAGTAGGACCAGAGGCTTCCTGGTATACTGCACAGCCTCTCAGTTGCAGCTACTACATTGCACCAACTCTCAAAACAAAGTCACAGGGATTCATTTCTGCCACTGTGGGGCAGTGGAACTCTTAGCACAGCTGTGTCTGATGTGGCTGCTAGTGCTGAGTCATGCTCCTTGCGTCTAGGGGCGCCATGTCACAGTGGGCGGGGGGGGGGGACGGGTGCAGCTCAGACCCCGTGTTTCAGACGGCCCTTCAAGAGCAGCTATATTTCTGGGTCTATAGGCAAAACATATTGTTACAGTAAAATGGGCTATATATTGAACAAAACAGCTGGTGTTTGTGTGACCTATTCTTGTTCTGCGTTAATAGCAAGACTGCAGCTATTATGGGGTGTAAAGAGTACATTGCTGGGTTGCATCCAACCAAGGAAGTAGACCCATTTAAATGTGTTTGTTATGTTGAAAAACTTCAATGGGTCTACTCTGAGTAAGATTAGCATCGGATACCATCCATTCTTTAGATTTTTTTGTCAGTTTAACTGGGCCCTTCAAACTTGGGGCCCCCAATGTGGCATTCATGGGCACCATGGAGCTAATGGGCACCATGGGCACCGCTTTATTACCTGCCAAGGTCTCCTGTTCCTCCCAATCATTATTTTTAAAATTTGAGCCTTATTTGGCTGGTTATGTTTTGGTTGTTTGGTGGGGAGGTTGCCTGTTTTCTGTGGGTTGTGGGTGTTGCCTGCTTTTTTGTGTCCGTTTTTGTTTTATTTGGGATGTGTAGGTGACTTACCTTTTGTCGGAGGGGGCATACCTGAGCATCACCAGTTTTTCTTCTGTGACATTGGTATTTTGTAGTTCCCGTAAGAGATTTCCAAATGTGCCCCCAGGTCACAAAATGTGGGAGACTCCTGTAGGAAGGGGCAAAAATGGCCCCTAACACTGGATGGCCTGTCCTGCAGCAACTAGGATTTTTACTGCCCCCCCCCCTTTGCAACCAGCCAGTTCCTGACAGAGGCACTATGGCAGTTCAAGAACACATTCCAGCCAAGCAAAGGGAGTGGAGGAAGGCCAGTGAAGGGGTGGCTTAAGAATGGCTGGAGGAAGAGTCCCAAGGGCCAGATAGAGTGGCCTGGGGGGCCACATTCAACCCCAGTCCTGGGGTTCCCCACCACTGATATAGGTCACATCCAAGCCATACATTTACAGCACTCTTATACCACTTTTAAAAGTCATGGTTCCCTGCAAAGTTTTCCAGGAACTGAAGATTGTCACTGACCTATAATTCTCAGGACAATTGGCAAACTACAATTCCCAGGATCCACACTCCCCATTATAGGTTGTTCTGTACCATTATCTAAGGGACACTTCTATTTATAGTTATTGTATATTAAAAACTAAAAAAAAGTTTATAAAAAGGTCATGAATCAATGAGTAATAGCCACAAATAGCTCTCCAGGAATCTAGTTGCTTACTAAGCCTTGCAGTTCCCAACTCAATCAGATGATGTATCATTCTCAAGTCTCTTGTGACCCAGCTGGTCAGCACATCCAGCTATTCACTGGGTCAAACAATAATAAATAATAATAATAAATTTTATTTGTATCCCGCTCTCCCCAGCCAAAGCCAGGCTCAGAGCGGCTAACATCATATAAATAAGACAATATGCATAATACAATATACAATATGCAAATAAAATAACATTCAACATTCATTAAACAATATAGAATAATATCAGCATTTCAAAATTAAACAGAAATCTACTCAACAGTTACAATAAGTTATTTCTAAACTCCAATTAATAAAACAACAGCAAACCACAGTGCACAACATAATACAATACAAAATGAGAAGCAGAGACTGGAGGGTGGGGCAAGGCAGGTGGAAGGAGGCCTTGCCTGATGGAGGCTCTCCCCTCACAGTTCTTCCTCCAGGCATAGCTTCCTTATGAAGAATCCCAGGGCCAGGGGGTGGGGCAAGGCAGGTGGAAGGAGGCTTTAAAGACTCCTTTCAGAGTGATTCAGTTCACTTGCAGGGAGCCAAGGTCTCATGGCTTCTTGCTTGTTTCAGGAAGCATGGAGAGAAAAATGCTGAAAAGGGGGATGGGGTAGGGGAGAGCAGAGCCTGCTGAGAGGATTTCAAACTACACCCACTTGCAACCTGAGCTTAGGTTTACCCTTTCATGCACCCTTTCATGTGAGCCACTAACTGTATATTACAGCAACATCAGGCCAATTCCAACTGCACATCTTCGTGGCTCAACAGGGCATGCAGTTAAACTGTTAATCAAAAGGAAGATGGTTGGATCTCTTCTCACCCCGAGCCCTGATAGCCACCATGTGTGGTGCCTGCCTCTCTTCCCTCAAAGAGAGGTAGGGTGACAACTTTCCCAATGTTACAGAAGACGACACAGATTTGTGTAAGTAGATCAATAAATAAATGTGCTGATTTATATGTATAGATACAACTTTAGAAATCATTAATGTAATTTAATCAGAAATGCAGAATTTTGCAGCATAGTGGAGAAGACAGTGACTATATGGCCTGCTTGTGGACCTGCTCAGTGTGCTGTCAGGTTGATGCGCAGGGACACATTAGTCCTGCAACATCTGGAGGGGCGCAGGCTCCTTATCCTCGTGCTTCTGTGTTTTTGACATGATTATATATGGATGGAAATGTGACTATTTTAAAATTTCTAATGGCTTTTTATTGTTGTGAGTTGCTTTGAGCTCAACCTGGTTGCTTGGGAAAAGTGGCACACAAATCAAAAGCAATATTAAATCAAATCAATAGCAACCTTACATCAACACTGGCAGTGGGAACAAATCCTCCACCATAGCACACAGTAACAGGCATAGGCAACAGAGTAAGCCATTTTGTTACATGCTCTGTGCCCCCATAACTTGTGGCTGCGTCTCCCTGCCACCGAGTGTCTGCCTAATGATTGGGCCGGCCCTGAAGGCAAAGGTGGCAATGCAGATTTTGCTCACAGTGGGACCTGCAGTGTTGGGTGCAAGTGTGACAGAGGTGTACTAGGCTTCTAAGCAACTCCTGGCACTTACTGGTAACTGAAGGAGCTCTTATTACCTTCTGTGTGTGAAAACAGGAGGCTTCATGCTGTCCTTTATATTCTACAGGTAAACTTTGGTTTTCACAAAAGCTTGCCTGAACCATTCTGGACACCTGTTCCTGTACATCTGCAGATGTTCTTAATTAGAGATGGGTCAACCAGCCCAACTAAGCCTCCCTCTAGAGGAGCTTTTGCCCACCTGGCAACCAACTCCCTACATTTGCAACCTTAAGCCCTTGTCCGATAGCACCCCTATACTAATGGCAAACTCATTCTCCCAATGCCAGTCCTTATGCAGCCAAAAGAACACCATCAGTGTACAAGAGGGAGGTGTCAGCAGGGATGGTGGGGGAGCACAAGTTTTCCCCAAATGCAAAAAATATTTAGAAAAAATCTTAAGTGTGCAGAGCCTCCCACCGATACAGATCCACAGTATACATTTAAAACATATTTAGCATCAATTTAAAGCATGTGACTTCTCCCAAAGAATCCTGGTAACTGTAGTTTCTGCTTCACAGAGCTACCATTTCCAGCATGCTTAGCAAACTATAGCTCCCAGCATTCTTTGGGGGAAGTCATGTGCTTTAAATGAGCATTGAATATGCTTTAAATGTAAGCATGCTCTAAGCGGCTAGCATGCTCAAAGGGCATGGAGCGCTGACTGACAGTTGTGGCAGGGGGAATGGAAATTAGTGTTGGTGGGCAGATGGAATGGAGTATCCTGAAAAAGGACATGGCAGGCTGGCTGAACAGCAGCATTCCACAAGGAAACATGTTGTTTTATAATCCCCAAAAGTAACCCCCCCCCTTTCAT